TCTGTGAATATTTGACCCAAATTTCATAAGTTTTAAATATTGAAAGCAAATCTATGAGTAAAGTTCCCTTGAAATTTGAGGATCGAAACTGGTAAAATCAAAATTCATAATTCTTTGTAAAAGAACTCAAACTGGGTTAATGTGGAATCTAAAGTGGGTTAACGTTGTTCCACTATGTTCGCACGACAGAGCTTTAAGTGTTTCATTCACACATATTTCGATGTTATAACCTTCTGCATAACCATATGCTACCCGTGTACGTTTATACTTGTACACACGAATCACTTTATTGGCATGATAAAATTCACTTAAAATAGCTTGGCTTTAACTTGAGTAGTTGATATTTAAATATTAAATTTCAAAATTTCTATTTTGTGGCTAATTTTTTTGCTGCAAAAATTGTTTCACTAATTTGATTTTTCTCCTAAAAAATTTCAAAGTTAAGCTATAAAAAAAGTAAAAAAAAGGAAAAAAATCTCAAGAATGGGACAAAGAGAGGAAGAGGAATGGATAATTAGTGATTATACATCCATTCATCGATGATTTAAAATAAATTATAGAAAATTGTGTCCTCCTCCCATAGTCAAGTCATTTATCTATTCATCTATTCATTCATCCAACCATTTGCTTCATGTCCTTTTCCATTGCCTTCAATAAATCATTTGCATCATATCATCGCTTACTGAACTTATCACTTTTTTGTGCCGCAAAATATTCCTTACATAAGGGACATCAGCAATAATTAGTCTTGCAAATAATGATCAAATTACCATTGTTGATTGTGATCAATTAATGCCAGTATTCAAAAGTTAGAAAGTCAAGAACACCCAGGCAGAAGACATCTCTGTAATGTGTGATATGATAACAAGAATAGGGTAAAAGTAATGAATACAGCGATTTAATATTTAACTTGTCAAAAAGATTACAACTGTAGAAAGGTTGCCAAGGCTAAAATATTTAGCAATCATTTGATGTGCAGAAATAAATTGTATCAATGTTAATCAAATAGGATACTTGATGGATTTACGGTCACAGTTAAATTTCCGAACTTAACATCAACATCTCCATGAGCATAATCATTATTATTCGCATCGTTTTTCTCGTATTATCATCCTTATTAAGTAAGCATTTTGTTCAAGTTATATCTGCTTTTTCTTTTTTCATTTTTGTTTGATTGGCACGGAAGTGATTTGTATTTGGCTTTTTTTTTTTGATTTTTTGATTTACAGTAGATCAGTAATGCCTAACAATCTGGCGCTTGTGTCGCACGTAGGCGATGGCACCCTGAAAAAGAGGAAGAAAAAAGGTGTGATAAGGATAATTTAGAGAAAGATAGCATAATTAAATAAATGATTAACGCAACAAAACGAGAAAAAAAAAACAGAGTAAGGGGAAAAAAAGATTTACTTTTGAAAGACAATAAAATATCGTTATTTTCACTAGCATGTCATGTTGTCATAATCAGGATTACAGTCAAACCAATGCTATTCTTGTTAATATCATCATTTCTATCATCACTTTGCATTCGATACTTGATGGAAATATGTGCTTGCAGTATGTAAAAATGCAAAATTGCCTAACACAGGAAGGACAGTGAATAATACTGTTGTCAGTCTGACACAAAACGCATTTGAAGTCGATATAATGCTCCCTAACTCACTCGTTCATTCCACAAGTTCTCCCCTTTTCCCCCCACCCCTCCCCCCCCCCCCCCTCTCCCCCTTTCCTATGTGGATTTTGAATCATAGACAAGAAGAAAGAAATTGAAAATTAAATGAAGTGTTCAAAAAAATGACTCTTTTTGCTCTATTTCGCAGGATAGTTTTGGTTTTAAATTTCTGTTGCCCTTATCTTTTTGAAGGTTGGATAACTAAATTTCAATACACGCAGGATTCCAATACCAGAAAACAGATTGAGATGGCAGTTTACAGTCTTCTGCTACAGTGTACAGAAAAATGAAAATGTCTGTTATTGATTCGTTGAATGCCGAGGGCTTTATCACGATATATTTGATTGCCATAAGTTCAGTTTTGCACCGTATTTCTGTAGTGCTTCCCAGGAAAGCACCTAAATGTAGCATATTTAAGGGTTTTTTGAAGAACCAAAAAATTGTTGCAATTCAAGATTCAACGAAATCATATTTTATATCACTAAATTTCTTTGAGCTAAATGAATTGTTCAAATCTTGATTTGAATGTGGAATTTGATTTCGAATGGTCATAATGAGTGATGTTATTCCGAAGCGTATCTTCATCAAACCTTTTCCTTTCGCAAAGTAATTCAAAATAGTCATCAGATACAATATCCGCCTTATTTAGACTTTTTCTGCCATGCATCTCTTTGTGTTGGTTCGATTACATGTCTGAAATAGCCGTTGCAGAATTTCTTAAACCGTGTGAAGTTATTTATCAAACTGTTTCGATCAGTAGACTCTAGGATGTTGTCAGTGATTTAGATTCTCTTTCATTTTCGCGGTTGCATTTTTTACCATTCAAACATGCATTGAGACTCCTCATTACTGTGAGATTGGTTTAGGTAGAAGACGAAAGATTACTCCATTACGTGGAAAATCTTGTCAATATCAATGTGCTGAGAAGACGGAAACAAATTCAAAATCGAACAAATTTAAAAACGTTCCTCTTCACACGCACACATACACACAAATCCACGTACATATATATATATATATATATATATATATATATATATATATATATATATATATATATATATATA